TATATACATATGTATATATATATGTATTTATAAACAAATGCGTATATGCTCGAATGGATTTAAATTTTTGAAAAAATAGTTTTAAATAGAACCGTTTATGACATTCTTGACGTAGCTGAGTAATGATTTATTACATTTTTTTTTTTACTAAATATGTATTTATGTATGTTTTTAAACATATTTAACTAATAACATAAACATCTTCTTTGCTTTTATTTGAACCGATTTTAATGAAATATTCTGAGCTTTTTCAAGTAGATTTTAGTGTAGCCAAATAGAAAAGTTTACACATTCAAGTTAACTTCTGGCCCTGAACATATTAGAATCATTCTTGACAATGTTCGATAAGCTAAATCCGAGTTTTTAATCCGTTTGGCAAATATTGGTTTTATGGAGTTTCCACCTGATGGCAGGATGTACTGACGTATCAGAAGTATCTAACTCACTTTCAGTTCCAGTTCCATTGCCAGTTCGTTCAGGTAAAAACGCAAATATTCTGGACACTTCGACTTCATCATCTTTGAGCCAGCGAAAGCGATGCCATCATGAATGAGAAACATTTAATTTGACAAGGTGAACTAAGGAAACGAAAAGCAGAGTGGCTTGCATCACAGAAATATATTTCGGAATATACTACATAGCTCTCGAACTCTAGTTATTATATACACAAAAAAAGGTCAGACCCTTTGATTGGAAGAAAACGAAAGTCTCTGCGGTTTACAGCGTAAGATCGAAATGAGTTTTGTATACCCAGTGATGGTTCTAAACACAAAAGAGCAGCTCTTAGGCTCTTCTTCACTATGGTAATAAAAAACCTAGTAATCCAATTGCTCATGCAGTACAGACGAATGAGTGCCATGAGGCAATGCGGAAGATCTGGTCGCCTTATATCAAATACAATGATAATCACGGCAAAATATGTGGCGATCTCAAGCTTACAACATTAATTCTAACCAAATCGAAACACTGTTTGATTTTCATATCATTTAAACAGATGATTGGTTTGGTATGCAATCCAAAAGCTAAGTCCACAAGACATTTACCGGTAATCTCCTCACATCACTGGACCTTAGCAAGAACTTCAGCAAACCGGACGACCTTCAAGAACCGGCCTCTCAGTATTTAATCAAGTTTTTACCCAATTTGTCATACGCAACAGTCAAGAACGCATAAGTGCCGGGCTTAATATTAGAAAATTAATGGCCGATAGAAACTTGATCCTAAAAATTTTAATTCACGATGAATCAACGTCAGTATGGACACATTTTCAAATCGTTGTTCACCACTTTCAATGTAACCTCCGAAAATCACAGAGTTTTAAGCAAATTATTTGTTGGAACTATCGATATATTGGGGCAAACATGTCTCCAGAGTCAATCTTTGAAAATAGAGTTACAAAGTTGAAAGAGTTTAGAATTGCTAGCGTATGCCAAGAACATTAATATTGTAGGCCTTAACGACCGTTAGTTCTGCTTTCTGCAGACTTGATAAAGAAACGAGGCCAATGGGTCTGCTAGTGAACAAGAACAAGATGAAATACCAACGTTCACAATTCGACTCCCACGAGACTGTTGACAGTCATAAGTTCGAGATCGTAGATAATTCCGTCTATCTAGGGACCAGTATTAAAACCAAATCCTTGAAATCCTACGCAGAATCACTCTAGCCTACAGTGATTACTTTAAAGTAATTGAAAAGTAAAGTTCTCTCTTGACAGACCCAAACCAATCTCTAAAAATCTCTCATCATCGACATCTTATGAGTCGGCCTTTAGAGTCTTCAAGAGAAAAGTTTTGTGAACGATTTATACTCCTTTGGGCTTTGTACGAGCTATATGAGGATATTGACCTAGTTCAGCCAATGAAAAAACAGTGGGAATGCTGCCTAAGTAATGTCTTTCGTATGGATGAAAGTACTCTAGATTTGAAAGTATTCAATACAGCGACCGCCGGTGAGGAAGAGGAAGACCGCCACTCCATGGGAAGGATCAGTTGGAGGTCGATCAGTTTTCACTAAGCATCACCAACTGACGTCTAACAGTGAAGAACACGAACGCTTGGCGCGCTATTGTTGATTCGGCTGTAAACGCGTCAGCGGTGCCTATGCCAATCAAGAAGAAGCAAACATATAATTTTTGATAATTTTCTATACATCTTAACCTGTATTAAGTATAAAATAAAAACTGAAAGATCCAGGCTCACGGGATTTTCTAGTATTTTTTCACGCACATGCTATGTACGTACGGGAAATATGGAAGGAAGACAAGTGTGAAAATAAAATTTAATTAGAAGTTTATGAATAAATATCACTTATATACATCAGCAAAACCACATTCATTCAAATGTATATATGTACACACTCGAGTAAGTATACTTCTTTTATGTTATGCTAAAAGTACACACAGCATGTGTAGTGAAGAGTAAGAGCAAAAGCCGCTTTAATGACCAGAGAAAGCAAGCAATTAATACACACCCATATTAATGAAATTTTATATCATACAATTTATGCACATACATACATATATTTGTAACTATAAATAGACGAAGTGACGGGCAAGCGGAATCGTAAATTAATAAATAAATATGTTTGTATGAATATACACAACATCAGGCATTAGGCTATTAACCCATTGTGCAAACGTTTCAAAATTGTCACAATTCTTCAAAGTTTTTTGCTTTACCAGTACATTGACCGACAATGACCAAGGCTATTAAATACTTTGACGAAATTAAAAGCTGAAAAATGTAAATATTTTGTTATCGTTTAACGGTTTACTGAATAAATAAACACATATGTGTGTATGTAATATCCATTAATATTTTGATATATTTTTCAGGCATTTGTTAAAGCTGTTATATACGCGTATATATGTACATATGTATATAAAATTAGCGCTTTATAGCCGCTGAAGCGATATTTGGTGAAGTTTCTACTCCGATTTGTGGTATGCGTCTTGTTGTTTCTCCAAGAAATGGAGTGACTTAGAGTTCATACCAAGCCACCGCCGAACAGCTGATGATATTTAATAAGGGGCTTTAATTTGATGACAGAAATACACTCGGAGGGCTTGTAAAGAGGTAGCGACCCTCCGACCGAAATTAGAAAAATTAACATAATTTTTTATTTAAATTAATTTTTTATAACATTTTATGTTGACCAGATCAGAGAGCGAACAACAGAGCTAACCACTCGGACGCCATACTATTCCTACTGCCAATAAATATTTCCCCTTTTACGATAGGCGTCGCCGTTGTTATTCAGTCGACATCGATATATTGAAACGATGTCGACAGTTTATCGATAAAATAAATTTGTTTCAATTTTTTACATTTTTTTTTTTTTGTAAAATTTTATATTCACGCAGTTTCAATTTCATATTTTTCTGTTAAAAATTTCTTTTTATCAAGTTAAAGCGAAGAAGACAGCAGGAAAGAACATACAGTAAAAAGAGATTATAAACCAAAACTCTGATTTATTTAGTTTGGCAGTTAAAAAGTTTTTTTTTAAATCGCGCATAAGCCATTTTGAAGAATTTTTCATTTATAAATTAATAGTTAAACCAACGGGCTATGGCTGATCGCCTTTGGCAAGAACCGAAATATGGTCTCCTGTCGCAAAGAAAGTCGCGTAACCAAATCCATCACAATGATGAGTGATGGACAACATATCTCCAGTGTGAAAGATGTGTGTACTCAGCAGGAATCTAACATCAACTTCGAACATCGCAATTACTTCGAAAAGAACACCTCTATGCACGAAAGAGCCCAACAAACCCAAAAAAAGTTCCACGTCGAAGAACTACAAACACAGCAGACGGTTAGACAGCTTTCTAATCAACTTCGACCTTTGATTGATGGGAGCACTCAACAGCTAATCGATAGAAAGGAGTTATGGAATGTGGTTTCGAGCTTACTTTGAATCGACGTTACGGAAACAAATGGTTTCCGATATTGTTGGAAAAAGCGCTGGTACAATGAGAAATGTTGATCTACAGTGGAGAGAAAACGCACTGTCTACTTTCAGGGTGGGATAGATATCGAGAGCTAAAGAGGGAAATGCGTTTTGCAGAAAAAAATGGAAGCCAAAATTTATGGGTACGAAGAGCTTGGTTAGCTGGCCGACAGGGGTGTTGCTCGAAAACTTCACGGCGAAAATGCGATTGATGTTTTCAAGGCCGGAGCATACAATTGTCAAAATCAAGGAGATACCACATGTACCGATGTTCCGAGCTTACCAAGTTTATGGAGGAAAAATTTCTCAAACTTTCCGAATGTCAGTGAAAGTGCAACAACACGAGATGGTGAAGTCGAATGCCCAATCGATGACGATGGTATAGATAATGCATCTACCGATCTTGATGAAGTCCAAATAGCACTTTCCCACCTTAAACAAAAATAAGGGAGGCGATGTCTTGCCATAAAATTTTGAGTTCAACCTCCGTAATATCAGATACAAAGGTTAAACAAACTATATGGACCTTGCCAGTTTAGTTCCACGGTTTATCGTGAGTAAGACTTTCGAAAAGAACCGTAAGAAAAGAAACGATATACGTCATCTCAAAATCATTTTTGAAGCTGTCATCGAAAGCACGAAAAACGACAAACGACATTTCAGGGACTCTCTATCGGGAGACTTTTTCAACTTAATGCTGAAGAAAATGATACCAGTTCGAGAGCGAAACAAACAAGGTAAACCATTCTAAAAGAGCATGCAACTTATGACATACCCTCGACGTTAGTTCTGCTTTCGTTAGATTAGACGAATAACTTTAAGGTGTAGATAATTCAATCTATCTTGGAACCAGATTCGACACCATTACTGTATGGACGCATCTGTTCCGCTGTGTCATGGAGATACTTAAGAAATAATTATAATGAGCTCAGTGTTGGCGGAACTCATTAGGAAAGAATACCTGAAAGCCGCTTTGGAATAACTTAACACTGTGTTATGATTTCAGTACCTAAACGGGTACATATTACCGCCCAATATCCAAAACTTACATCTTCAGATGGCGCAGCCGTTGTTCGGCCACTTTCGAATGCGCTCTCGTCCGTCATTTGCCTCTTTGGCGGTGTTGCTGTCGTCGATCGTTTGATCCACACATCATCTAAATGCGCGAGATCACCGCGCGATTTCACTAAACTATTATCACAATTATTGTAACTTTGGTGGTGATTGAGAGTTGTTGTATGGGCTTTGGGTGTAGTCGTATTGGTTTTTGAGATCTGTACACTCTTGGGGCGCTCCTCGAAGCCGACTTGATTCAACGATGTATTGCTGGCGGCCGGTGTACGTATTTCAACCAAAGATGCATCGAAAAATTTCTTTGAAAGATGCGGAGCAACAACGGGAAATTTGTGACTGCCGTAGCGTTGAGAGAAGAGGCCCTGCACAGAGGTATAACCACCATAGCTGCTGGGAAAGCTGATGGTGTGTGCATTCGCGCTTGAGCTCAAATGTTTCAGCTTATCCGCCTCGGTGCGTAGTTGTTGCAGTTCGGGTGTCTCTTTGGCTTTGGTTACGGTGAATTTACCTTTAATAACCATTTTCTCTGAGCTTTCAGCGCGTGGCAATGTGGGTTGCGCAACTTTTGTTGCATTTACGGCGGTGTCGCCTGCAGATAATATGGTGTGGCTTGACAGATGGCTAGTTGTGGTGGGTTTTGTTTGAATTGGTATCAACACTGCTGCCTCGGTGTGCGTAATTTGTTTGTGGTTCGCGGTAGACACGTTGCTAGCATAGCTTGGGGCACACGATTGATTGTCACCCAACATTTCGCTTGACGCCATCTTAGCCGCCGGTGATTTTTGTGGTGCCGGCATTATTGCCTTGCGCGGTTCGGCTGCCTTAATCATCGCTAGTGGTTTTTTCCTTGTCGATTGCAGCAAATTAATTAGTGAAGGCGGCAATACGGTTGGCGGTATAGGCGGCGGCGGTGGTGGCGAAAAACTATCTGCGGTCACCGGCACCGTTTTAATATCGTCCACATTATTGGTGTTGATACTGTCAATTTTATGCATGAATTGTTGCCGCAAACGTTCGAGTTCTTTGAACTTTTCAGCGGATGCCTCATCAGTGGCCGATGGCGGTGGTGGCGGTGGCGGTGTGGGCAGCGACTTCTCGAATTTTGGCGCGGATGCGTCGCTAGTGTGTGGCTGCGGTGACTTATCGCCATCATCCTCATCCTCCTCCTTGCATTGCGACAAGCGGCGACGCTCAACGAAGGGCAAAAGATACGGGCGCGTATGGAAGATATCCAAATTGCAAGACTCTGCCGTCGAAAATTTGGCCAAACGTTCGTCATTTTGCACACCAGCGGCGCCAATTTCCTCGTCACTATCGCTACTACTGCTGTAGCTGTGATAGTCAAAGGTGCCGGTTGGTGGAAAACTAGACAGCACCGAGCTGCCAAAACCGCTCGAGAAGGTGAGACTATCACTATCAATTGTACGTAGGCCGTGCGCAAGAGAATCGCTAACCGTATCATCGTATTCGTTGGCGCTTTCCGAGTCCGATTCATAACCATCCACTTCGGCTTGTTCCAAGCAGGCCATAGACTCGTCGAAAGCATTTTCAAAGACATCATCACCCAAACGGTGGCTATCGGTAGCGTGCGGGAGTGCATGCGGCGCGCTACTAACGCTGGCGTCGGCCCCAACATTTGCTTTGTCATTCGAGGACGACTGCTGACTACGGCTGTGTGTCGGCGGAGTATCCGCGTTGGTGTCGGTGTACCTTTCGTGCGTCATTGTTGCAGCGCAGGCTTTTGCGTTATCCTTATTGTACGTAGAATTTGTGGCCATTTGCGGAAAATACTGTTTAGCTGGTAACTTTTTGATCGTTTTAACAATTTTTTTCTTTTTGAATTTGTTTCGCGGAATTTTCAGGATAAATTTCGGGGTTAGGATAGTTTTTTTTACATAAACACTTATTTCTCAGTTCACAATTACGCGTTTGATTTTTTCTGAACCAGGACTAGGACACAAAACAGAAATAAAAAAATAGCTCACTACACTTTACGTCGATAATATTTTCTTTTGAACGACATTGATTTGCTGCTTTCGGTCACTTCGTGGAAAAGATCTCTTATGGTTTTATGTAAGTAAACTAGTGTTTGTGTCGAAAATTGTTTTAGTTGAACTCAGGATATTGATCTGTAAAATAAAGGAAATATGCCAGTGTTAATGTATGGGTATGAAGAGTCTACTCTTGGAAACTGCTATCACTTCGTTTGTGTTGGATTGACTTGGAAGAGAAATAACTCGGGAATGACTCAAAGGTTATTCAGGCACAAAGTTTTGTATTAAATATTTTTTCTTTTTGGTAAATAATATTATCGATTATGATTCCGTGCGAGTCGCTTTAATTTTTTTTTAGATACGAAAGTAAAGATTCTTTGAGTGTTTTAAGGCACAAGAGATTCTGATATTCATTTCCGGCTTACAATAAAAACTGTTAGGAAAAATTTCTGACTAATGAATAAGTCTTAAAGAAAATGAACAAATTTTGAACCTTTTTCTCCCTTGGAGAAATAAAATAAAATTTAGGATAAAAAATATGAATTGTCAATAATTCGATTAAATTTGATTTAATTTTAATTACATTTTATTTAAATTTTAATTAAATTTAATTTTAATTCTATGTAAATTGAATTCAATATAAGTTTAATTTAATTTTACTTTTTGAATTTAAATTCATTCTAAAATTTAGTTAACTCCAATGCAATTTAATGTCTGTTTAATTTAATTTAATTTCAGTTTAATTCAATTTAATATCTGTTTAATGTAAGTTATTTTTTTCAACTAAAGTGCAATTAAAGATTAGTTTAATTTAACTTTAATTCAATTTAATATAGTTTCTATTCATTTTTAATTTAATTTTAATACTATTTAATTTAAATTTAATTTGATTTGATTTCAAAATAATTTACTTTTGAATAATTAACTTATGTTAATTGAAATTAATTTTAATCCATTTTAGGTTTATTTTAATTTGATTTCAAAATAAATGAATTTTCCTTAATTAATTAATCAATTTCTTTACTTTTTTTAATTAAAACTAATCTAATCCATTTCAAATTTAATTTAAATTTAAAATAATTTCATTTAAGTTAAATGTAATTTTAGTTAGAGATAAATTTCAACTCAATTTTAGTTTAATTTAATTTACTTAAAAAAAAATCGTTTAATCCAATTTAATTCAGATTTATTTAGTTTCAATTTAAATCTAGTTTAACTTATCTTAAGCTCACTATAATTTGAATTTAATTTTATATTAATTATAATTCAATTTAGTTTTTTATTAATAAAATTTAAATTTATTCTTCAATTAATTGAGTTCAACGTTGTTTTAGTTGAATTTAATTTTGATACAATTTAATTTTAGTTTAATTTCAATTCCATTTAATATTATTTAATTCAATTTAAATGTAATACAATTGAAGTAAATTAAATGTAAATAAACGCTAACCACTGTAGTTCGGCCGAGAGCCCTACGTCGAAATTGTTCCAGTACCTATAGTACTCCTCAAAGGTTTCACTGATTAAGGGAACATTTTAAGGCGCTGAAAAGTCTGAGACTGTCAGACCTCGCCATAGCTATAATGGCGCTGGCAATAAACAAGAAGAAGCAGATCTAACGATTTTTTCAAAAAATTTAAAACCCCATGTTTTTAATGCCCGATAGAAACATGGCAAGGGAAAGTCGTTTTAAATAAACCCGTAGATTCGAAACGGTGTTGTGAGTTTGATCGGCATTTGTACTCACGGTATCAACAGCTATTTGTAGTCAATATTTTTTCAAAAGCTTCAACGCCTAGAAAGCTTTTGTAATTCATTACGTATAAATACTCATCAATCAATTTAGTGGCGGTATGTAAGTACATACGAGTATTTATGTACTTGCATGAGAAAGTGATGTTATGATAAATAAATATTTATTCTACTTTCTAAACTCACAAAAAAGCTTTAAATAATATGCAACAACAAAGATAAGTAATTATTTGCAGCTCTTCTGCTACCAGAGTGTCAATAATTGATAAATACAACAAAATTAGTCACTTATATATATATGTGTAAACATATTCTGTAAACCGTCTGACCACAAATGTAAGTACTTGTATACAGATATATGTGCGTACATATGTACTACATATACAAATATTGAATCCATCAGCGTTGAACTGACATCATCAACGGAATGCCAGACTTCAAACCACAAAGTCGACATGTCGTAAAAATTTCTACACATTTCACTTAAAGGAATTAAAGTCTGCCCCGAACGGAAAGAACGAAAAGTTAGCTTCAAACAAAGGATTTAAATATTTCTTCGTGCAAACCCATTAAACGGAAAGACATGAGAAAGTTAGAAAAGCCAACAAGAGACACACATAGCCGAAATGTATATTGGCGTTGTGGATATTACAAGTTCATAGCCCATTCGGGCTGGATAGGCAGAAAAGAAGTCTGATGCGTAAAAATGATGGTTTCGAAAACAGTTCTACCTTCCAACACTTACCTAGACTTTCAAGTGCTCGAAACAGATTATATTTAGCGCATCCGAATAAGCACTTCAAGAGTCGAAAAATTCATAAGCAAAAAAAATATACATATATAAAGTATTTACTTCCACCTTCTAAAATATATATCTGCCTTTTAGATTACTGTATAGAAAAGGAAGAATAATGCATTGTTTTTTATTTCCACCCCTTTTTTTATTTAACATAAAAACGCTTCTTAGTAATTAAAAACTATATAATGAAATGAGAATTCAATCTTTTCTAAATAATTGCATTCACATTATTGGTCGACAACTTTTTAATGCAACATATCAAGTCCAAGCAGTAACTCGTAAATGTAGGCAACGCTATTTGCTTCAGAAAAGACAAAAACTATTACTCCGTAAGGCCGTTGCTTAAAATTCGGCGTAGAAAACTTTCAATGGGAAGTGTTCGTTAAAAAAAAATATGTGGAAATGATAATTTTAAAGGTAAAGAAAAATGCTTCTCGTGCCACTTTTTTCCCAACACAAGCAGTTGCGATTTTGCTTTAAAAGACGGTACACAAATTATATGAAAGCAAAATGAAAAGAATTTTCAGTTGAAATTGTTAATTTCAATTAAACTGTTCTTAATGGAATTGTGTGATTATTTTTTGCATTCCTCTGCATTTCCTTGTCACGTTTCACATAGTGCATGTGAACAATAAAAAAAACCTGAATTGTTTTAGGATTTAAAAAAATATATATATCATTAATAATGCATGCTACACTCAAGGCAACAACTATTAGAGATATGTATGTAAGAATTTAAAACTATGTTTAAAAAATATATACAAATGTTCGCTAATAAAAATTCAATCAATTTGTCATGTTCCGTAACTTCAAACCGATAATTACTTTTTGCAAACACGTATTGATCTGCCAACACAAAAATGATTCAACCTAAAAAATTGCAAGTCAATATTTATTTTCTTTTTCAATTTACGAGGAAATTATAAGTATCTGTCACAAAACACGAAAATGTGCTTTTATAAACATATTTAATTAATTTATGTCGTTACTTATATACTTAGAACTATGTATGTATATGCTTCAAAAAATATCATTTTGCTGTTGTCTACAATCAAGTGTACGTAACAAACATAGGGCATTCATGAACGATGTATGTATGTATAATGATCAATGAAGATCGAAAATGATCGAACGCTACTGAGCACTTAATATCGTAAAAAAGAATCAAAATAAAATGAAATAAAATAAAATAAAATAAAATGAAATNAAAAAAAAAAAAAAATAAAAAAAATATAATAAAAATTTAAAACACATTTAAGTTGAGTACAAATTAACTTTTCTAAAACTAAATTAATCAAAATTTTTCTAAATTTAATTAAATTAAAATGTTATAAGAAAATAGAATAAATATACGAGACCAAAAAAATATATTAAATAAACAATATAAAATAAAATGATAATAAATTAGAATGAAATAAGATTAAATATACAAAGATAAATTCAAATAAAAAACTAAATTATCAACGATATAAATTAAAATAATTTGAACAATTAACAATCAACAATTAAAATAAAATAATATAAGAATATAGAATAAAAATACAACAAATAATAAAGTAATATAATGAAGTAATATAACAGAAAATAAAACAATATAAAATAAAATAAACAAAATATGGATAAAATAAGATAAAATAGAATGTAATAAAATAAAATAAAACCAAATAATATTTAACAAAATCAGAAAAATTAAAATATAATAATTAATATATATGATAGAAAATTTAAAATAAAATAAAATAAATTAGTTTAAAATAATTTTAAACAATAAAATAAAATATAATTCAAAAATTAAATATGAACTATATATAAAGCAAAAAAATTTTAATTAATATTACATTTTTTTAAATTATATTTTATAAAATGAATTAAACTAGACTAAAATAAAATATAATTGAATTAAAATATTATAACATGTAATAAAGTAAATAACTGATATACCTAATTAAAAAAAAAAAAATAAAATAAAGATTAAAAAAAAAAATTCACAGATGCAACATTTGCACATAGAAAAATATATAAGTCCTGGTATAAAACAAAATTAAATAATTTAAACTTAAAAGGAACTAAATAAAATACTTAAAAAAATGCTTCAAAATTAAAGCTTAGCGAAATGTAAAGTTCATTAACACAACGTACATATGTATAACAATAAAATATATTTAAAAATATGGTTTTCTGTAGACATGGAGTATTTAATCTTTTATGTAGTTAAATAATTTTATCAAAACCAATACTTTTTATTGCACAGATAAAACAAAGGAAAATTCTCCATTCGCTTTTAGTAATTAATTAACTCATTAAATACTTTTTTTTTTATTTTTGCAATCATCTGAACGATCGATAACCACAATCAATAATTTACCGACTATTGATCAATATTTGTTGCAAATCACGAGAATAGCTAATAAATTTCCAATGTACATGTCGTCAGACAGGCATTTATATATATATATATATATATATGTATGTATTGTATTGTATTGCAGACAGTAAGTATTGAACAAATATATATACTTCAGTATTAGCAGGTGTATGCGTGATCGTTAACGATTCTGACGATTTAAAAAAGTGCCACCGGGTCTAT